ATGTTGCATTATTTAAAATGCCAGAGAAGAGACAATTCTATTTAGCAGCATCCTTTTAATAAAAGTTTTTACTGCTCTCCCAAATTAAATATACCTTAATCCCCACCATTACATTGTAAAACCAACATCTTCTCAGGCAGAAGTCTTCAGCTTCCTTTACTTGGGAGATAATTACCACTAAGGCCAGCAGCACAATCTACCTCACACCAGGACTTCCCAGCTTTCAGATCTGGATACTATCACATCCAAACTACTGTATGTATTTTAGACACGGGAAGCATGACAGGGGACATGGTACTCATGTAGGTTTTCAATTAACTTTTTACCAGCTGTTCTAAGAGAGATAACACCTAACCCTGTGCTAAGTCTGCCAGAACTGCTTTCAGATAAGTTCCAATGAGTTTGAAACAGCAGTCAGCTTGCAGAGGTTCCGGGTTACAGCTCAGATGGTCACAGCATTTTAATTATCTTATTTCTTTAAAATCCAACAGCAACATCTCAAAAGCAAGGCTTACTGATTTGTGAAGCAGAGTATAAACCAACCATCTTCTGCTCTAACTTTTTAGCAGTGCACTTCGCTCAACAACCAACTCCAGTCAAGGGATTTTTTTTTTCCAAAACCAAAGTAGATCAAGCAGCAAACCCAGTAAAATTATCAATTCAAAAGACATAGTCTGCAACATTAACAAAGTAAACATGCTTCATTCCAACACTATTGCAACATAATGGACATTTCAGCATTTTTCGTGGAAGATAAAAAGGCTTAAGACAACCACTTGAAGACAAGCAATAACTATGAGAAAACCCAAACTGTCTATGCTTAGTACTATGTAAAGCAAGTCTGTGGTCACAATTCAGTCCCAAGACAAAGAACCAAATGAAGAGACAGCGCAAACAGGCTCCCTTCTCCTATGACAAAAAAAAGTTTCAAAGTTCAGGTCACTGATGACTGGCAGATCAAACAAGTATCTGTATTAGAGCTACCTTGTGAGAACACCATGACTTAAAGCCTAAATTCCACGACATCCAAAACTCACAAACCAAGCCACAGGCTTACTAAAAGTACTATGAAATGCTTCCACAAAACAATTAACAAATATTCTGATACCAATTTAAAGCATCACACTAACACCAAACACTTTTCAGAACTTCTTGGACCATAAGCATACAGCTATTGTGTTCATTTTGCAATGCAACCACCTTCAGAAATAAGCACTACCCTCTTACAACCACAGATTGAACAAAAACTACCAAGCTCATTTCTCAAACAGAACAGAAGCAGAATCAGGAAGAGAACTCACATTTCCAAAAATAAAATCTCACTTTCGTTATCCCTGGATCATCCCAGAAATGTATTATTCTGAAACACAGAAGTACAGCTAAACACAGAAGGCAAGCCTCCACTTACACCTAATGACAATACACTGAAGAGGCCAAGCAAACAGCACAGCTGAACACAAACACTGACAGTGATATAAACCCCCTCAGCTTAGAGATGATGGTGATTTAAGGCTTACAGATTCTCATTTCCAACACTTTTAAGATTCAGTCCACCAATTAATCACAGGTTGATACAGAATACATCTTACAAACACTATGTATGCTTAGTCTGCAGAGCAGTTTTGCTGTTGTTGCTTGTACCACCAGCCAATGCCTGGAATTCTCAAGAGAGGGTGTTGTAAGAACCAAGAACTATGATAGCTGCAGCGATTTTAAAACGTGAAGCATTCTAAGGCAAAAATCCCAAACACCTCAAGTCAAGCCAAGTGAAAGGGGTAGGTGCCATGCAATCTAAGGAGAAACTTGTGTTACAGTGTACTGCATTGCCATGCACCAGAGACCAAAAAAGAGGCTGCATCAAGAAAAAGCATTGCAAAGTCATTGTGTTCTAACCAATGAGCTTTGAAGCAGAGCATGGAAGAGTAAGTGACTTAGCAGGTTCAAACACTCCATCTTAGTTTTTTCCAAACCACTAGAAGAAGCTTGATTTAAATGCTATGATGACTCCAAACATTCAGAATTAATCCCTCCTCTATGAAGAAATGGTACTTTGAAACAAAGAGCATCTGGTTTGGAAAGCTACCTCATCTCCCTGCTTGATGCCTAGAGTTTGCTAGAATTAAGAACCTTTTCTGTTATTAATTTGTGCTATTTTGGCCAAAATTTAAGGAAATTTGCTGCCTTTGATGATCCATCATTTCTAGCAAGTAGGTTTTGTACATTCATGCAAATATAAGGAATAACCTAATTTTTTTCAGATTAACCTAGTAAATGGGTTTTCAAGAGAAAAACTCCTTTCAGCAGCATAAATAAGAAATCCTGATTATATATTTAACAGGAAGAATTTAAAGTGGATCTACAGTAAACACAGAATGAGGATTTACTGTGTCATGAAAATGAAGTTGGATGCAGTACTATTTCAAAAACAACAAAACCCTGTGTTCTACATGTTGAAACAGGCAGAGCACTATTAGGCTTATATCAAGTTATATAAGATGACTTGCATCTGGAACTCCTAGTCCACTCTGACCGAGACCACATATTAAACCTAGTTCAATCACCAGCCTGTTCAAACGCTGGTATACGTGTATCTGCTTACTACTGCAGAAATTTTTACTGATGAATTCTGCCTTCTGCTGACTGATTTCTTTTTTCTGCTTTTGTTTTGCCAGTTTCACCCTGGAGCAAACTGTTTGTATGCAAGACCCTGAGAAGGACTGCACTTTTCTGGGTAGGATCTACAGCAAGCATGTGGGGATACATTTACCACTAGTAGCTATGCTATCATAATCGTGTTCTTGAGGTAGGCGATTTAAATGCTAAAGAAGATTACCTGGGATTAAAATTGAAGGTGAACTTTGGCAGCTCAGTATAAAACCTATGGGTATCCATAAGAAGGAATTCAAACTCAACTCCAGATTGTCCTAATTTTATTTGACTTGGTTAACCAATTTTGAAGCACTTTTTACAGTTAACATAACTTAAAGGAGCACACTGTGTCCTATAAATATAAATTAACATTTTTAATAACTCAAGACATCACAACAAAGCCAGATTTTGAAATAAATTTTCTGTTTAGTTATCTGGATCAAGAAGGAACATACATGAAGAAAAAACAGCATTAACAAGAAAACACTGTTTAGTCCTAAACTGGGTTTGTGCTTCTACACCAAAAACACAACACTGATATTAACAAGAACTCTGCAAAGAACTTGAAGAGGTACATAGCTTCTGTAGTCCCAAAACCAAAGTACAAGTTTATTTCTTCTTCTGTTATCTGGTTTGGTTCTACAAAATTAGTATTAATGGTATAAGGACAAGTGTACAAGTACTTATTTTGCTGCTAATGGGAATTCTGTTGTAGCAGTTTGTTAGATGGTTGGTTTGGGTTAAGCTGAATTGGGTTTCCTGCATGATAAACAAGAACAAATCTCTTCAATGTATTTAATAATCAACACATTTGTTAGTACAAAGCAGATGGTGTTCAGCAAGAAGGCATTAAATGATAATTTGAAAACACCATGTGTTTGTTTGTTGTTTTTTTTTTTTTTAATACTAAGCCACACTAAAGAATTTGGTGAAGGCCAGATGTTCAAAGCTGGTGCACAGATAAAAGCTGCACAGCCGTGATGTATGCACAAAATTACTGACAGCCTGGCAGGTGTTAACATACGCCAATAGTTATTTGCATGCTTTCTTTACGACATACAGAAGTTAAGTCATCTGTCACTAAACTTTGAAAATCTGGTCTTAGTTACAAATTAACACTTTGCTTCACTCCATTAAATTAACAAAAGGCATTAATCCATCTTGAAATTTTTGGTTGATGACTAAAAGTAAGAGCAAGATTTCAGCACTAATAATTTTGTGCAAATCTACAACACACGTGTTTGTCCTCAAAATAAGCAAACAAATCTTAATTATTAAATATTTTCTTGTATATTACGTTCACTACAGATTATTTTTCAAAGCAATCTTAGAACTTAAAAGTTAGAAAATTTTAACGAGTTACTTTAGGCTTAGCTAAAAAAAAAAAATTATGTACTAGGGCAAAAATTGGAGTTAAGAGTCAGCCTCTGAATGCTTCTTAAAAATAAGTGTTTCAAATACAGGTTTAGAAAAGAAATTAAAGAACATGTTTTCAGTCACACTGAAGAAAACATCTGCAAAGAAAAAAAGACCCTCATCCTTAAGACTGAAGAAGAGGTGGTAGGAGAAAAGACAAAAAAATGACCAAGAAAAAAAAGCACTGTTTTTCCAAGTTGCCCAAATCACACACAGACACAAGAAGGTTACAAATGCCATTCATGAAAGAATGCACCACAAACATCAGCATTTATTCATGTTGGTTTTTTTTTAGCAAATGACAAAAGACTCGGCTCACTGGCTTCACTTCTGTTTACCTTTTGCTTACATTACACATTGAAACATTTGTCAAAACTTACTAAGTTGTCTGCATTCATGCACAACTAGAAAACATCCTTAATTTATTTAAACCAGAAATGCATTACCAGAAATGTATTAACATTGTTCACTACTAAACATTAAAAAAAGAGAAAAAGTTGAAATTATTAAAAAGGTTATCCTGGAAATGTTAACTTCACAGCAGACTTAAAACTACTAATTGGCTCACATTTCAAATTGGAAAAAGCAAGATTCATGCTAGTGTTAGTGTACATCTTGTCCTAGCACTACTAGGTTCACCTTGATCATATATAATAAAAAGAAAAGTGCATACAGAAATTTACAACAATTTTAAGGACAAAAAGAATGGTCCAATTGATGTGGTCCCAACAATTAACTCAAAAGTCTATGACAAATACGAGCTTCAGTGAGCTATTTATACTACTTAAGTACGGATATACAGAAAGTCGAGTTCGTTTGAAATCTTCAAAAAAAATGTTCCTGTCAATCCTCAAATGGTGGCTGTTATAGCTTAAAATTCTGTTAAATGCGTGCGTTGAATTACTTGTTATCCAAGCGTAGCAGCTGCTCCTTACCATTTATTGTTAGCGACCTTAACTGGCCATCTTCTTCAACTTCTACTCTCTCTTGTCCATTCTCAACAATTCTGTAGGACAAAAACCACAGCCATTTTAAAGCCCTGTAAGCAGTTTGCAAATATATGCCAGATCTAGGTTTTTATATAACAAACTATAAGGGAGCACTGCCTGCTTAATGCAACTGTGGTTGGCAAGCTTTGGTATTTAACAGTGCAGAAGCTGTAACTACTAGCCATCTGCATTCCCCTACTGAATTTCTTATTTACAGCAGGAAAATTGCTTTCTGGAAGTTTGAATCCTCCAGTTTGTAGAGTTCACAGTTAACAGCTGTTGCCTCATACACTGTCACAGTTTTACTGACACTACACTACTAATTAAGACTAAATGTCTTTTCACAGATCAACTGTACAATCTTGGCGTAGAATTTAGTACCTACCCATTTGTTAAATGCATAATAATCTAGATCCAATCATAGTTTTGCATGATGCAAGACATGCAAAACAGTCTTTAAGCTGCTTTTAATTTATCAGAGTAATTAATTTGCAGAACTACTGTATACCAAGTTTATGACCAGCATGTATATTGCAAAATTCAAGTATCCCTGACCATGAGAGATTGTTAGAGCTCTGTGGGTTTGGGCTTTGTTTGTTTTAGACATGGGAAGAAAAGGAATGTTTAAACTATTTTTAGATTATTTAACTTACGCCTAAATTTTAACTATGTGGGAATTCTCCCCCTCATGATTCAAATGAAGAAACCACATGGATGAATACACATTTTTCTGGTGATAAGACTTACTGAAGAGAATACACCCATACTAAAACCAGGGAATGGCTTCTTACCTGAAACAAAATACTATTCAGATACTGGGATACATCCCTTCTTTAGACTTTGCTACCCTGTGGTCAGACCTTCTACAAAGAAACAGGACCTCTTGGAGATATTAAATGTATCTTCCTAGATGTGGCTAGCCATATTTCTTGCTTCCCACCCACCCCCCGATATGATAATAAGATATAATGTAGCATAATACTGATTTAGCCTACCTTTTAATACTAAAACCAGACATGGTGCCTTATCTTATTTTGCATTAACACTTTCTTTGCTCTCTGTCCCTGGTACAATTCCCTCAGTTTTCAATTTTTTTCTGGAATACACTCACAGGAAAGTACCACGACCACACTAGCACACAGTGGCAAAGGCTGCACTTACGTGGTCAAGACAACAGGATTTCTCCAGTACAACAGGACAGAGAGCAACCTCGCACTTTGAAGTATGGGACACAAGTTACCCAGCAAAAAAAAAAAACTGGTTCTCGGTTGCTTTTCTGCAACTTTTTATTAAAGTACTGAAATTACATTTAACTACTTGTTGAGTACTCCTATAACTTAGGGATCATAATGTTCCATGTATATTAATTACTCTATAGCTAACTAATATTTCAATTTCCTCATCACAAGCATGAGACATGAGAAGATATGGTGTGTATAGTAGTTGAAAATTCACTTTCCAACAAACAGGAAAAGATTTCTCCAAAGCAGGTTTCAGCTGTTTATTCCACTTAACAGATAAAATTACTTTTTACACAAAAATTTCACTCAAGCACTGCCTAGGAAAGCAAACTAGAGCAGGTATTAGGAAAACTGTTTCATGATGTCTACAAAACTAGAAGTCCTCCCAGTCCCCAGTTAAATGCTTCACAATCAACAGAAACCACATGCACTTCCCTTCCAGCAGCTCAAGCAGACTTGGCAGAAAGTAGTCAAAGACCATAATAACAGATGAATCCCTATACCGGAGGTTCTGAAAGTCAGGAAGAATTCCATTGCCTGGTCTCTTTCTAACAGCAAACAAGTTGCAAGCTTCATTTTTCACAAGGGCAGCTCTGAAAGCATGTTTTACACATCTAAACCCTCTTCAACTATGAAGAGTTTAGACAAAAAAACACCGTCTTTCCTGTTTTTCACAGGCTACAGCTTTAAGTAACTCAGCAATGCTAAGAAAACTCAGAGAACAAATAGAACTTCTCAAAAATTTAAGCAGAGAAATCCAAGTAATGTGATGACCACAACAGCAAAAGTAAAAATACACACGTTATCAGTATATTTACGTGCATATACATATAGTATACTTATATGCATGTATTTATAGTTACTATCGTTTCATAGAAATATTTTTATCACATACCTCTTTGTAGTAATTTTTCTGCCATTAACTATTTTAGTTGAAGTTGATACTGATTTGAAGTTACCCAGCCCACCACCACCAAATGACGTAGAGGAGAACGAAGTAAGGCCTCCATGTCCCAGCGAGCCAAACGAAGTAAAACCTATTAAGAAAGAAGGTATGTGACTAAAAACACATTTCTGCATGACCATGGGATACAAATCAACACAGCACCAGTGACTAGATGCCATTAAACACCAGTGTGAGAATAAAAACATAGCTCCAGACCCATCGACTTCTCCCATATGGACCCATAGTTCCAATTCCAAATCGACAGCATCATGCAAAAACCATTCCTCATCTTCTCTCCTGAAGAAAAGGCATTCAAGCCTGCTTGCTGAACTCAACCACTGTCTCATTCTATCCACTAAGGTAAAGCTGGTAACTTTAATTCATCTGTTTTTTTGCTTTAAATGTTGGGATTCTGTTGAGCTAGCAGACAGAACAAGTATTCCATCATTAGCATCCCAACTAATATCCAGAATCTTAATAATTGAAAGGACACAGAGTATCAACAGCTCTCACCAACCTCAGATATAGACACCTGCATTCAGACTGAACTAAGTACTACCATACATTCTAAGAGCGTATTTTTAAGACCTTAAGTAATAGCCACCAAATCCCCAACACCTAAAACCAAACAGAATACAAACAAATCTAAAGCTATATAGAAACCACAGCACCAAAATTAAGAACAAAGTTCTACCTTTTAGAGGTCTGTTCACTTCTCGTGAATTTTTAGGTAGAACAAATATTTTAACAATACCTTTGTTCACATACAGACTTTACAGAGAGCAGATAAAGTGCAGCCTCAATTTCCCGAGTGAAGGCAAGTTTTTTAAAAAAGTATTCAGATTATTATATTGAGATCCTTTGTGTACCAAAACTGCATTCCTTGTTGTGATATTTACCTGTGTCAAATGAAGAAAAGCCACTTCCAAAAGCAGGGAATCCACCAAAGGCAGAGAAGAATGATCCACCACCTCTGCTTCTGCTCCCCCTTGGACCCCTCCTGCCGCCAAAGAAGTCCTCAAAAGGGTCTTCTGCAAAACAGAGGACAGCATTTAAGAGGTCACTATTACTGAGCGATTCTGTATTTAAACATTAGAAATTCATAAAAAATAAGTTTGCATTATTTAAGATTCAGCCTTCAAAATGTCTGATGCAACTGAAGAATCCAAGGTAACTCCTTCTGGACTAAATTCTGTCTCTTTTGGACCCAAAAATAATTATAAAGAGTGGTCTATTTCTGTGTTTTAGGTGTTTAGTATTTAAAAAAAGAACAGTAAACCTGATGTAAACAATCGAACATTTTTCAGTAAAATAGAAGTGGCAAGAGCTACAAAAGCATTATACATATGTATTATTATTCTTTTATAATGTATTCATATTAATATTGCATGTATTATATACATATTTCTATTTTACAATTTATTTGTAGAATTATTTATTACATATAATTAAAATATTGTTTCCATAATATGTTCATATTGCATAATACGGTGGAGGTATGTTCAAAATTAAATCAGTATCTGAGGCTAACCATGTCCAGTCAGTTAGCATTTGACAGACTTAACACTGCTCAGACGCATAATCATGATACCTTACACAACAAGCCACCATAAGGCAAATCATTCAGCAGTTCTACACTCCCTGCTGTCAGACTAAGTTTTTCCAGGCTATAAAGAGTAGCATTACAGATTAAACTCCTAGAATTTAAATTTAATGACTCTTAAAATATTGCACACAGGTACCTGAACCGTCTAGCTTAATTCCATTCAAGATTTATTGTGGATCACCACAATGAGATCTTTAAAAAGTAACTTCCAGATAGGTTATATCACTTAGTGAGATACAAAAACAGCAGTCTGGAATTGATTACTTACAATCTTAGTGTTCAAAGTGTTTATTTTAACACCTGCCACAATAGGTACATCAAACACGTATTCTGATGCACATTTAGGCAAGAAAGTAGGAAGGTTTACACAGTGTCTCAAAGTAGCATTCAGTCCCCACCAAGCAGGGGAAAGAGAGGATAAATAAAGGGAGTCATAGATAAAATGACATTTCAAATTCAAGTACAACTGTTATGTCATTCACAACAGCTGTTGTTTCATCCCCATCATAAAGACAATAGTCTCTTCAAAAAAAAAAAAAAAGGGGGGAAGGGGAGAGGACACCAGGCACCTACATAAGCAATCCTTTTTTACTTTATCACATCTCCCTAAGAAAATAATTACTACTAGAAGTATCTGAAAGCTGTTTTCTACTAATGTTCTGAAAACAAAACAAGGTGGGTTTTTTTGTCAGTCTATGGTATCAGCTAGCAAGTAAAGCCACTGAAGTTAATTGTTTTGTACTCCAATTTATTCTTGCTGGAGTGACTCATAAATTAGTTATGAAGGTCATTCACTCACGTGTAGAAACGATCTATATTATGTTACTCCCACTGTTAAGCTTTCTATTTATAGCCCATTTTTCTTGTTACCTGGAGTTCAAATAAAAACAAAACAACCCACCAACTTTGAGGTTTTAAGCCCCCAACAGTACATCAGCTTATTCTACAAGTGAATCTCTCCTCAGCGCAACAGCAGCAAACCACAAAAGCTTTTTAAGGGAGGACCAAAGGGCCTCCTAGAGATCCCTGCTATCAACCCAGTTTCTAAATGGATTATTGCCTATTCCTAGCCACAGAAAAAAAAAAAAAAACCAACTAAGTGAGACTTGGATGTGCCTTATTAGCCTTTGGCAATCCTACACACTAACAAAAGAGGTGAGCACTTGGTATTAGTAAATGTTCTAGCCTCAGGTGATTTCCATTAGCAGCCCTGCTAGTAATTCTCCAGCAAAGAAGATACTCTAACCACTCTTCTGCAGAATTCTCAGCAAGATGGATTGTCCATAGACAGGAAAATGGGTAGGACTTTCCTGAGGCAATGTTCCTTACTATCCTGACAGTCATCGAGGTACAGCATGGGGGGGGGGGGGGGGGGAAGAAAGCCAGAAACAGAAAAGAGAAGGCACCACAAAGCTTCTGCATTATCACTTGTTTTATCCACCACCAAATACACATTAATACAGCAACTTCACAAATACTCAGACCCTGTTTATGCTTTTAGTCCTTAAATTAGGATAACTAACAGTATGACGCAGCAAAACATTTCAGTTTGATAAATCTATTATTGTGATTTTGCAGAACCTTCCCATGCATTATAATCTTGCACACAGAACCATTTGGCTAAAACCATCCAACACAGTGAATAACAAAATATCAGGGTATTGTGGGTTGTTTTTTTTTAATAAATCCTCTTATGATAGTAATTTTGGTGCTTAATTTTCTTATTGTTAGAAGCACATCAGAAAACTGAAAAAAAAAACAAAAAAAAAAACCCACAAAACAAAATACAACCCTCAAGTGGAAACCTTTATAAAAAGGGAAAATACTATGTAAATACTACACAACTCAAAAGCATCAGAAAACTGAAATGCTAGACTAATGTCACATTAATTCACCATCCAAAAGAAAACACCAAGTTGTTAGCTTTCTGTCACATCCATGACCTAATCTGAGTCACTACTGGCAAGACTGATGTATTTGAAAGAAAGTGGGCTGGAAAGCACCATACAATAGGCACGGAAAGGAAGTAAACCCCAGATTATCTACATTTGAAGCAATGCACAACTCAGTGAAACCAATCTAAGGCATTATTCCCAATAAACTAAAAGTGCCATATTCCCTACATCTATCACTTCTACAATAACACTTGCACCCTGGCAGCTGCCTGGGGAACCAGATCAAGAACAGATAAACTGAAAACAGCATCTCCAGATGAACACAAGTTCAGCTAATTGATCCTTTGCTGAAGTTCAGTATGACCATAAAAGCAACTGCTGGTTACAAAGAAGACAGCATGAAGAAGCCAAAAAACAACACACAAGCTGAATGCCCTCACTGCAGATGCAGGAGGATGACACTGGAGCTGCCACGCACTGAGCAGAATAATGTTGCAAGGCTGCTCAGCCCCTACATTAAGGAGGCAGTCAAACTCAATGCCATTATTACAGCCTCCCATGTTTCAGTAAGCAAAGACAGCATAGCCTGCTTGCCTGCCATAACTGTTATATCAAAAGCATACTATAAGTAACATCATGCCAGTAGAGTCTGAAATGTGGGTTTGAATAATGTGTTCATGCAAAGCGCTATAGATACATGCTACATAGAATAAAGCAGAATTCTGGGAGTAGGTGTTTTTATCTTGCCTCCTATTTGGAAAAAAGTTTCAAAGATGCAGATTTGCAATAGACACAGAATCTCAGGATACAGCTCTGGAGTAAACAGGTACAAAAACCTGCATCATCAGAACTGGGCATGCTGCAGAAACCTGTAAGCACTTTCACATGGAAATATTTTCTTCCTTAACTGCAAAACAAGCATACTGTTGATGCCACTTACTCAGAAAAGACACCAAGATGCTGCTGCAAGTACTACTGATTCACCCGCCTAAAATGTTTTACAACATGGTCTTTTATCATTGCTTACTTCCACAAATTAGATGTCAAATAGATGTTTGCCCCACTTATTTAAGAATGTTCATCTGCAGAAGCACTTGAAAGTCTTTCTAATGATACACAGCAGAGATCCTGGGATTAGTAATTTCCTAGAAAAAAAAGAGACTTAAACATGACCTCTGAATGCTATCTATACTGTACTCTAGCATCCTTGTAATAATGGTAAGTCCAACTCTAACCAGAGTTTCATATTTACCAAATCAATGCCCAAATGTTCAAGCACACCTTGGAAACAGAAATCTTCCATTAACATTGTATGTCCTGCTCTCCTTGTGCTGCATTCAGCATTTGTCCTCTGACCAATTCAACCACCTTGCCATCCAAGAAAACAAAACCAAACTATTTTCTTGGGGACTAATAACCTGAACTAGCTCAGGATGCCAAGGACAAACCTCCTCTTAGGCCAATGTGCTATCAAACAGCTTCTCAATGTATTTAATGGTCAAAGACTAAGTTCTAAGACAGACATGATGATTTGGAGCAGGGGCTCCTCCCTTTTGGCAGCAAAAGCTAAGTATTAGCTTAGTTACCCACTGTGCCACACCATTACCTATTACTGTTTGATAATGCTGTCTGGGTGAGACAATTACTGTGTTCCAAAAGCCTTCTTCAAACCTACCAAGTAATTTCTGAGAAACTCATAGTAGTGAGATTGTGACCATTCCATGAGTAATCATGATCCAAGACCCATGCTTACAAAATACTACTGTGTACATTCATACCAAAGCAATGAATGAACATGCAAATCTCTAAGGACTTCATGAATTGCACCAAAAGCTGCAAATTTATGTCAACAAAAAGATTAATTACAAAGAGGTCAATGTTGTGCAATACAGCTTTAATTGAAAGCCAGCTCCATTTTCTGTTTTAAGAATCCATTAGACTAACAAATGCATTTTGCATTAGAACTCCTGAACATTGTAATTATCAGACATGGGATTACATATGGATTGAAACCATGATGGAAGCTTGTGCCCTACTGAGACAACTTTCTGTCCTTGAGACAAAAAGGCTGATGAAGCTATTCCATTCCTGAACAACCCAAAACACGGATCATGTAAAATAGTTTGCAACAATTACTGCACACAGATTTTCCCCTTTCTCATTAGGTGAAGACTTTTTAGCCTGGATGCTTAAAGTCACTAACTATTCTTTACATCTAATAGAGCATAAGCATTACGGTAATCAATATTACAATAGTCAATCTGCAGTACCAAGCTACACAAATAGCTAGCTAGTTGACATTCTCTGTGACAAATATTTATATCTAGCTAGCTATAAGGTGTTAAGATTTATTTTACCTGTGGTTTCCAGGAGTATAGATTTAAGTACCACATAAACCAGGTAACCAGAATTCCCCAGGGAAAACTCCAAAAAATGTATACGGGTTTATACACATCAGCTGGTCTTAAATTTAAATACATTGCGAGTTCTACTTCACAAACTAAGAAAAAAAAACAGGACATTTTTATAAAATACCATCTCAGAAGGTACACTGAGAATATTAAAGAGTTTAGGAACTCTAGCAAAACTGTCAAGATTATGATCTATGTTGAAAAGAGACTCCACAAAGTCTTCTCTCAGACAAAGTCCAGAGGGACCATCCATCTAGAGCAATTTACCACATCACATTGTTAACATATTTTACCATGGATTAAAGCATGGTTCCTTGTGGGATTCATTGAACTAGATATACAGGCATCTAAAGCTCTTTGAAATGTCCTGCAACAGCCTAACAAGCTTCTAATACTGCTTCTGGTAAATACTGGTCTGCTGTAGGTCCTGAGCCCATACAAAAATTACTCAGGCATCTCAAATACCCTAAACCATCTCAAATGTCATCAGATGTGTATATGAAGCTCAATGTATACAACTACTTAAAGAGCTGCTTGAACTACTAGTGAAATGAACTACTTGAGTTGAACCACTAATGGTTAATGCTATGCTCTCATGATAACCATTCCATCTTCCAATGCAATTCCTTACTGATAATCCCTTCCAACATATAACCTCTTCTTGAAGTGAGAATCTGAAAAGCCTCTAAACCAAAACCGAGTCAATTCTTTAACAGCCCAGAATCAATGTCAAGCATTTTTTCCTATGTGAAAACACATCAGTTTCTGTTCCTCACAGTCCCTGAAGCAGCAGTCTTTAATTTAATCAATATACCTCCCTTAACAGTGGTAACATCAGGATCCCTATGAACTGTTAAAATACAGCAGCAGAACATTCTTGAAAAGTTTACAAGTAAAATACGAACAGAACACTACCTGCAATACAAATTAACCAAATAAAGGCAAGCACCATATATAGTCAGATAGTTTAAATATAAAACAAGCTTACAGAAATGAGAAATCAATCCCTTTATGAAGACTAAAGCGTCAGTTTTCACATCAAAGGACAGCTGTGTAAGGTAGAGAGTGCTGCTTACCATCTAACCAGGCACTGATATTTCAAGGTAGTACATTACAGTATAAAGAGTAGTACTGCATAGGAAGCATTACCTTTTCTTCTGTTACAAGGCTTACCATTCACCTATCTCAAAGAAACTAAAAACTATCACTGGAAGAGATCACTAGGAAAAAGCAGATTCTGCTGTAACCAGCTGTTACAGAAAGCAAGTGCACACCTCTAAAGCTGAGTTAACCATCTGTTACCTTATCAGAACAAGTTTTTAGACGTACCAGCCTTCATACACCCTTCTTTTCCCAAACAATTAGCCTGAAAACCAGTGAAGACTGTGATGGGCTGAGTTAATTTCAGTGCAACACAAAGCACGTAACATTAACTTTGCTCAATGTGGAATTGTTAAGAGCTGTCTTCAACAGAATTATAAATTTTTATTTGAGAAGTCTGAAGGGACTCAGTTACAAATCACCACAGAAATCTTCATACATTCTCCTCTTTTTTACAGATGAATAAAGATGCCTCTGTTCATAAAGAAAACTTTCTGTAACTGCAATCGCAGTGCAACACAGCTCAGTGGAGTTTAACAGACTTGATTCATGGCACAACTTTAAGAATTCTTCACACTGCTTAATTTATAGGGATTATGCTTCTGAATGGTGTTCTTTTTACATATTCAATGGCAATCAGGATAGAGAGAGTCCCACCTGCAGTCTATGTGCCTCAGTACATACTACTTCAAACTGTATAAAAGGTGTAAACATTTCAAAGCATATATTCAATTTCATCTTTGATTCCACCAGTGCACATTCTAAAAAGCATGACCTCAGTCCTTATTCAGCTGCTTATAAAACCAATTATAACCTGAGTAGCTCTTTAAAAGGTCACTAGTTCCACAGAAAATTAAAAGTTGAAAACTCTTTTTTATTAGATGAATTCTCTTATTCTTCAGGACAAAAGCTGTCCCACCAGCTGTGGGTGTTTCAACACAGCAGAAGCTACAAGGGCTCTGGTTCACCAACCACTTACACACACAATTCTACTGCTTGCTTTTGGCATTAGCAAATGCACTATGTTCAGCTGAAAGGCCCTATATTTTCACTTTGGACTATCTTAAACATCTGCATAAATGGAGAGATTGTTGTGGACACTTTTTATACAAAGCTGTGGGAAAATTGTTTTGAGTCACACTTCGCCATATCAAAGAATGTCTGAAGCATCTTAAAGAGAAAAAAAAAAAGCGCTCACTTAGAAGCTTTCTGTCAAAAAAAGTTCCAAGAGCTTTTACTCAGAATCTAAAGCTCAACACAGGTTTTAGGACTACATTAAGTAGGTAACCTGCTTTTGAGTAAATAAATTTGGGTGTTAAACAGGGGGAGAATGTTTGTGGAAGCATGCCTCAATGTCACCATTGAGGAATGTCGTTATATCCACTGCTTCCACAGGGTAAGATGTATCACTATTCCTCTACAGGAGCGGGTGAAGTAGCTGCAATATCCCAGGAACTCTGGCAGTAGTGGCATCTCCATGTGGTGAGCGCCAGTCCCTTAACTGTCTTAGCGGCCCTTCACTGGACTCTATCCCGTAGCTCTGTCTCTTGTCTTGGGGAGCCGAGAACTGGACACAATACTACAGATGTGGCCTAACCAGTGCTGAAAGCACTCATCTAAATGGAAATCATCATTCAGTGAAGGCAGCAAAAAGCTGCAACACCCCACCTCAGCCCCTGTTTCCATTCATCAGTATTTTGTTAGATGCTTCCTCCAATCTGCACTTTACTACTTCTGATTTGCTGCTGGATCTAACTGCTCAAGTTCTACTGCTTATCCTTTACCAGATTCTTCCTCTAGTTACTCATGTAATTCATCAACTAACATTCTACTGAATTAATCCTCTAGCACTTCAACCCCTTTTCTAATTCTTCACTAGTCACCCAACAACTGATGAACCCTGAATAGCAAACTACAGAAAGGTAATTAGAACCTTAGTTGAATTAGCCCCTTCATGCTGCCAGCAAAGATAAAAAATTCTTTGAAAATATTAAAGCATCTTCATACATTGTTATAGAGATTAAACAGTATCAAGGCACGGAATAGGAAGAGCTTTGCTTTTCACGTACACTTCTTGCAGTTTTCAATATGAGACTACTTTAAGTAAATACTGAACACAGGATCTGTTCCACTTTCTACGTCAGCATTTTATGCAGTAGAACATACACAGTGATTTCATAAGAACTGCAACACCTGAATAGGCTTTCAATACGCTACAGTAAGCGACATCACAAGCCAAAGGACCATCAGCACTATGGTAATAAGATCACTTTGACAATTTTATCACACTGTTTCTCCTTTAACTAAATGACGCATCAAGGCTTCAAGAACTACTTAAGCTACCTGAGCCTTAAGGGGCTCTATCCCCCAAGCAAACATGTACCATGAATTTGGGAGAGTATCACCTACATTACGTTTGCAGTTGTTCTTGTTTTGATACAAGAAAAATCTTTCCTTCAACCATCCAAGTTCAAGCCGAGAGCTACGGTGCAAGAGTTACAGTTAACCTGTCCAGTTCAGAACCTCTAAAAGCTACATTAAATATTTACAAATAAAAACAGATCAAATTCAACAAATTAAGTTCACCCAGTCAAATTCTCTAAAGGGAATTTCAGCATATTGAATGTTGAATGGTTCCTTCCAACCTAGAGACACAGCACTCACAATTTTATGGCTTTTTAAACCACGACTTCCAACAAAACATACCTGTTCTGTACTATCAAATAAAACAAGAACAAACAGGTAGGAAATAAACATTTTAAATCTAACAAAATGCCCACTGTTTACCTGCAGTTCTCAGAGCTATTTCTAATAAAGCTGCATTAGCTATATTTGTTCTGCAAGAGTAAAGTTTTAGCCCATTTTAGATAAACATAACTAAACCAGGTGGATTACTTACCAAAGAAGTCAAATGAAAAGGGGTCCCTTCCACCAAAAAACTCCCTGAACACATCTTCTGGGTTACGGAATGTAAATCCAAATTCAAATGGATTATCGTGATGATTTCCACCTGCAAAAGATGTTAAATTTCATTTACCCTCACACATTCTTACTAACAAGAAAGTTCAGGTCTGTATGGTATTTGAATCATTTAGAGATATAAACCCATCTTTAAAATTTCTCTTTCCCTTTCAGGTATAAAGTCCAGACAACACTTCTCATCACTAATTGCCTTGTCTCTGTTTACAGATATCAGTAATACCTTTTACTACAACAAGAAAAACTGCAAAAACAACTGTCATTTCCGTTTTCACAAGGTTACATTTTAGGCCTTAGTACAGGCATTTCCAGATTCCTGTCTTGAAAGAAAGCTGCAGAAAATGGCTTTCCACCAGAACAAAGAAAGCAAAGAACTGGCAATTGTCAACATACCTCCACCTCCATTTATTAAGCCTTCTTTTCCGTATCTGTCATAGAGCTCACGTTTTCTAGCTACAAGGAGAAGTTGTATATGTCAGTAAACAGGCACACTGAATTTGGAAAAGAAAAAAACCCAACAACAAAACACAACAAAAAAAAACAACAGAAATATGTAACCGGTATACTCAGCTATACATTTCTCAAAGCTAGTTTGTCTGAGACAGTTCTGTCATGTACCTGGGCAAACATTTTTACTGAGAATTGCCAAAGCAATTTAGGCTCAAAAAGAACAGATACTAAACCTTAGGACTTACTACCATTTAATTGCAGAAGCTCTGATCCTGTTGAATAAAAAAAAAAAGAAAAAAAAAAGGAGGTATAAGGACAAACTTCACAAGGAAGCTTGCCTTTAAAACAAGAACACTGCAGTCAAATCTCAAAGTTGGTTAGAACTTGCCTGGATAAAGCCCTGATCTCTATCTCTAAGAAAAGATTCCACAGTCTCTCTGGAAAACAGTCCCAGGCTCAAGCACTCTCACTGTTAGCATTGTCTTCCTTCTACCCAACTGGAATTTCCCTTGTTATAAGCCTCAATCACTGCCTCTTTTTCTTCCTATTGCACAAGATCAAGCCCATTGTAACAGAGCTATGAGAATGAAGGACAGTGTTTGTACGAGTGATCGCAAAAGACCTCAAATTAATTATAATCACTTCTAGTTTATTAAAGGGGAATGACATGATGTTAAAAAAAATGCCATGGAAGGATGTGACTCAAACTGCTAGCTTTCTATGATTTCTGAAGGCAGGGAACGGCTTGCTCTTAATTTCACTGCAGACCAGCCTTCCAGCAGTCATGAGAAAAGGGAAAAAAATAATTCTACGTTATTACAGAAGATAAGACTGCTCTGTTGTTTCTGGAAGGGAACCTGAAGAGCTTACTGAGGCAGACAGTCAGTTATTTTGCTTGCAGTGGCATAGAAGCAGCCAAAAAAATAGTAGGGGCATCTGATTTCAGACTCCTAATATTAACATCCTATTCCGACTGGAAACTCCTTAGTGAAAGATGCTTTTGAAATTTGAATAGCAGCATTGAAATAACATGCAGTTACCTCAAACAGTTGCTGAAAAGTAAAATACACCTAACAGGGATTAAAATTTTATATACTGGGCACCATCTTCAAATAATGGAAACTTGCAATAGGATCCCCCCCAACACCCCCAGCAAAGCTTGGTACATTATCTATATTGCCTTTCTGGAAAGTAATTTTAAAGAGAAGATGTTACCCTACCCACCAATGTAAAGAGACCAAAGCAGTAAGGCAGACAAACTGACAGAAGGAACAGGAAACAGCACAGACAATCTGAAGGCTCACAAAGCCTGAAGTTCATCTTGAAAACTGTAACGTTCTTGAAACCACAAGGGAAGCGTGTTCTATGATCACCCAATTTCAGTATTCTTTGCTTATGTAACCCCTTACAAAACTATTCTTCTGCCAGAAATTTGTATCCATTCAAGCCCGTAATAGCATCAGAAAATTTCATTAAGTCTGCAGAACAGTTGATTGCCTCTCAACTACATGGCTCAGGATTCAGATATCCCTGCTGCACAAATGATTGTCAAGACACCAGTAACTTAGGATTTGGTCTAGATCCAAAACCAGGCAGCATTTTTAGAAGATGTTTTAAAATTCTAGCAGTGTAGTCTTTCCACAGAGCTTTAAGATCTGTAAAGCAACCAGACCAGGATCCTATTTTTATCTTGCTTAAAATAAAAAAATTGCATAAGAAGGTTAAATTACTCTAGATGACAAAGATACAATGAACTGACAAACTAAATTCTCTTTCTACGATGTCAATTACATATCAAAAACAACCCAAAAAAAAAGTGGGTGTACAGCTTGATAAACAAGGCCAAATTCTGAAAGATAATCTAGATGCTGCTAGCACTTTAAATATAGCTTTCCCTTGCTCACTGGTCTCAGGTGAAATCAAGGACACTTCAGAAATAGCATAGACAGCTGCAGTCAATTACAGGGGAAAAATAATCAAAGTCACTTTGTTATGATTCAGGCTGCTTTTGCCAGAATATCAGCACAAATTAATGATGCCTTCTCCAAGCAAAAAGACAGGGGTGAACCATTAAGCTGAATTCCTATACCACATAGGTGAAGCTAAACAACTTTTCCTGAACAATGCAAAATTAATACTCTCCTCAGTACCACTGAGGACTGAATTTATGGAATTCCCCCAAAAGCAATCCAAATTTTCAGCAAGGTTTACAGTATGCTTGGGCTTTGTCAAGACTAGTTTACTGTAATAAGAAATAGAGGCAGCAGACCCAGCAGCAGATACTTCAGAGCCTGTCTAGCCTGACTTTCATTGGATAAACAACATCATTACCCCTTACTGATGGTAACACTGGCTTCACCTCCCAAGATGAAAATGACTCAGTATTCAGATTCAGAAATTTCTGAAGAGGGCCTGGCAAACAAGATCTCGATTTCTAGAAGAAATTTCTGCTTATTCTATCTTACCTGCAAGTTTCTTTATCTCTCCTTTCTTTTGAAAGGGAAGTATTTGAGCTGGATGGTAAACCAAAGTTACAATATCCCTTTAAAGCATCATACACCAGCACTTTTGGTCTGTTAACCAGGCTATAGAGAGGCAAGAGCCCTTTTAAAATACTTACCATCTGACAAAACTTCATAGGCCTCCGCTACTTGTTTAAACTGCCGTTCTGCCTCTTCTTTATTGTCTGGATTTTTATCAGGGTGCCATTTTAGCGCCAATTTACGGTATCTAAATGGAAGGAAAATAAAGTATTTTATTCTGAAATGAATGCATATACTATACAGATAAATACAAAATGTTTCAAACAAGTTGTGAGGGATTAAAACATTTAGAAATTCCCCAGTGCTTTGTATCTGGCATCTAAACCAGCACCAACAGTTTCTACAGGTACACCGAGAGCCATCTAGTCAGATTTTATTAAAAAAAACAAACAAACAAACCAGAAATAAAAAAGTGGGTTTGGGGTTCTTTAGCTGTTTTGAGAATATTCCTGTGTGTTTCCAATCAATATCTGGCGGGTCTCAGAAAAACATCGTGTAACATTTCAGCTATGGGCTTCTCCTTAGAGCTCCATATTTATTTAATACTACAGTCAACCATGGGAAGCATCAAGAGTACTCTTCTGGCACAGAGAAAGACAATAATGTTCCAGGAGTACCCTGATACCAAACTCTGGCAGCAGCCTAACATCAGTCACATCAGTGCTACATCTGCACATGCTTTCTATTCTCAAATGAAATATTTTAGACAGAGTGCTCAACCTGAAGCAGCAAAGCTAACCTTGCACTTAAGTTGGAGTGTTTTACATTGAGTCATGCAATAACACAGCCTGAACATTTGAGCTAGCAAAGTAGCATGTGCAGCTATTTGCAAAATAAAAATGGAAGAAAGAAAAAACCCACATAAATCAAGCTTCCATGCACTAATTTGGTTAATTAAGTTTAGAATATTGGAGAAGGCAAAACTGAAACACAGTATTTTCAGGTCACTTGAAACTGCAACTCGCTGTCAAACAGTTTTAGCACACTAAAAATGAGAACTACAAATATGAGCTCCTTCCAGCTGTTTTCTGAAAAGTAAATGGCATTTTCTGAAAATGTTAGGAACATCCACCTTAAAACAACACATAAACAGTAAATCTAAATGAAGAACAGTATGCAATTCCTTTGAACTCTCCTAATTTAACATGGGGGGTGGAGAGGGAGGAATACTAACTGATGTTTAGTCCATCCAAATCTAAGCACACAGAAACCAGACCTCACGTTAACAAAGAGCAACGTGCCAAATGCTTGTTAATAACTTTGTAAAAGCATCTCTGCAAACAGAGGGGAGGCCTACTTAATGCAATCCAGCCAAACAAGGGACTGACACTGTCTGTACCAGATCAAGTTTGGAAGCACACTTATACAGAAATGTACTTAACAGTGATAAAAATCCAATGACTGACAACATTCTCACTTCAGCAGTACTCAAGTTTCTTTTCCTAATTTCATAAAAACAAGCAAGTGCTTTTTCTTCAGAACACTGAAGATTTCTCTGTTAGCAAAGCTATCACCTCAGATGACTAAACTCACATCCTAGTATTAACCTCAAAGTGAGAATCTATAAACAATATTATACTTGTTCCTTAAAATACACAACATCAATTAAATATATGCTAGTTATACTTACGCTTTTTTAATATCTTCTGCTGAGGCATGCTTCTGCACTCCCAGAACTTCATAATAATCCACCATGTTTCAGTAGTCGTCTTCTTAACAGCTGAGCCTTTCAAGTCCTGTAATAACAAGATTTTGTAAGTTAAGCTTGTCCAGTAACGCTACTTCACAGAAGTCAGGTAGGAGAGTAGTATCTTTCAGTAGCAAACCTGATCTGGGAGCTGCTGGCTGTTAGAAATTCAAATGTTCCAAAGTCAAAAAAATAAAAGACATTCGCGATTACTGTTGTTCCGATTTTTATGCTACTGAATCCCCCTAAATCACAGTGCACAGACATAGCAGTAAACAGCAAGCTCCTGAAGAAGACTAAGTACAGTGCGTCACCATCTTGATATATACATTAATAACAATGCAGAAGAAACCATGTATCATTTATACTTTGTCCTCTCTGACACCCATGTCATGTCTTAAGCACATAAACAAAGGGCCACATCTTTCACATCTACTCTTCAGAACATTACTTCCACTGAGATGCTTCCTACAAAACCACAAGGTACATGCAGGTCTTAGACATCTAAAATTTCACCTACTCAAACACTGACTGAAAATTCGCACAGCTACTGAATTCCATTTACTTTCTGTATGATTACCAACATAAAGCACACAGCCAGGCAAGACTGCTCAAACTACAAGGTTAACCAACCAACAGAAGAGAAGCACCTTGTGTTTAAAAGAATGAAGTTTTCACAGGAGTCCTAAGAAACCTACAAGCTAAAAGCATTTGCCCTACTCAAATACTGATTGTTTCTTGTCAATATCAAGAGTTAAAGACCAGTTATACTAACAGTTACTTCAACTAGAGTACCACAAAGACAGAAGAATCTTTCTAAAAATGTCAAGAACATTTCATGTCTTCATGCAGAGGCTTCTTCTTCCCACCACTGCAACAAGTCTCCATTCTGGCCAAGCTTCCAACCAACTTTCCATCCTACCACTGCTGCTGTTTCAAGTTTTTTTTGAACAAGGCAACACCAACTTTTACAATGAATTAACTCACTGCCAGCAAAGTCTCACAAACATAAACAAATATAACAATACAGCAATGTATTAGTCACATTTTCTTAATCTGTGCATCAAGAATAGAAATTCATTTAAAACACTCCTCCCTCAAGTCATTCAGTGTTTTTAATTTCAGCCCAGGCAAAGTCTCATTTTCACTGTATTTCATACAAATACTGAAAGAATCAATCATGATATAGCCCAGTAAAATATTCTGAAATTAGTTTACTGTACTAGTATTACATGTATCTTTCAACATCCAGAGAGACTTCCGTTTAAAATGAACTGGTACATCTTCAAAATTCATTGCTGTTCTAAGTTAAAGATTAATGAGCTTTATTTAGGGATGTGGTTACACACACATTTCCTCAAATGGCAAAACCAGTTTAAGAAATACCCTGCCATGCTACCTTCCCCCTCCAGACTACTTAAAGATGTGTATGTAGGGAGGAGCTACATGCATTTAGAAGTTGGGTGGTTTTAGCAATCTAGTTAAAAATACTGTCCCACAAACACAAAATTAAAGTGTAGCAGGTGAAGAGACCTCTAATTATTCTGCCCTTTGAAGAAACCTCACTGAAAAAAACTGTAAGGGTATAGTAATTTTGTGACCAACACCAAGGGACGTTGGGAGACATGCATTAAAACTAACACAAATTCTAGCACAGTAATGGCAAGGTTCAATATGTAAACAAGGAGATTAGCAACAATATACCAGAATATTTGCTAGCAGCTAGCCTGCTTAGTTTTGTTGTTTGCCAAGCAATGATTAGAAGAGCTCAATGGACATACAGGTGAGGAGCAAGGTTAGCAAGAGTTAAATGTATTATCAAATCCTGCAGCCAATCCTTATGAGTAATAGCATATATAGAACAAAGTTTACAGAGAGAAATCAGGAGGGGGAGGGGGGAAAATCTAGTATAAGTAATGCTTAAAGCTAGACACCACAACCCCTCCTAACAACACGTACTAGCCTAAAACCAGTGAGCTAACAGCAGGAAGCCACAACACACAGAAGCTACATACAATACCATTAAGTGTTTTTCCTATACTCACCTTTTTTTCTTGCATTAGCAAGTCAATTTAGGCAGATATCTTGAAGGGAAAATTCAACCCTCAAGCTCCTAGTTATAATAAGCAGGTAGAAAAACCCACTTAGATGTAAAAAAATAAATCACATCTTTTCCTAGAGAACCTTGTGCACACTGGCAGTCATGTTGATTTCAACATAAACTACTTTAAACACTTTAGCTGATTGTTAGTGCTGCAGCGTTACATGTTCTGACTCAAAAGATGCACTGATGTATCTATCCTAAATAACACAAATCTGAAGCTGGGACCAAAAATGAGGCAACATGACCAGTTCTTAACAGATTACTCTGACCCTAAAAAGCAAATCCTCCAAGGACGGAGGAATTATTTCAAAGCAGTATCTGGGGTTTCAATATTCTTTTGTGTGTTACTGTTAAGTTTTTACTTGCTACTAACAAAAGTCTGGAATTAAGACATGCCAGCAGCTCTCTAAAGAAAACAAACCATTTATATTTTCCTCTTAAACATTCAGGTGACAGTAAGAGTTCATCTCTGACCAATCATTATTTCTATCTGCCAGTTACCATAAAGCATAAATGGCAGTGTTACAATTTTAGGCAGAGGAACTTTTTTATTGTGCACAAAAATATCTTCACAGTATTTAAATGAAGAAAGTTTTCTGCATTTTCTGGGGTTTCTGCTGGGTTTCTTTTTCCACTAAAATCAGTAGTTCTAAGGCTAGTAGGAATCTACACAGTGAAAATGCCTAAATATTTCAAAGAAGCAAACCATATACCTTCTTGCAAAATGAAAAGCAAAAAAATCCTCAACTGTCCTAAACAAAATGGCATGACAAAAATTTTCTTCCAACCTTAAATCTGTCAAGCAATTTGCAACTCAAAATTAAGGGGTTATTTTTGCAAAGCCAGAGGAAGCCAGCCCACATTAGTTAATTTCCCACCTCCAACCACAGAAAAATCTTCAAAGTCTAAGAAAGAAAAACGAGCAGAAATACTTCAGATAAAAGAATTTGTTTTCATGGCCTCCTTGTTTGCTTGCAAAAATCCAGTTACTTGTGTTCATAACTGTACTATTTTTATAGGATGATACCAGCTACTCTAACTTCTCTCACCCCTGGAGCATGAACAAATCAAACATTCAACTGTTTAAGTGAACCAAAAGCCTCCATACCTTACAGATTTCTCAGTCCTCACAGGAGGAGTCAGCTTTGTTCTGGCCTACCAAGCAGAAGCCCTGACTGCTCATACCTACTCAAGGCAACTATGAGGTATACACGACCAGGCTTGAGACCTGCCTCTTAGGCACAACACAAAGCTAGATCAGTTTAGTTATCTTGAAAATTGGCTCATAAACTCTTTACAGCAAAGTCCTCAGCTACATAAAAGGCATGAGGAGAATTACAGAAGACAGATAACTTAGAGAGCTATAAACTTTTATAAGATCAGATGACAAAGAAGAGAGAAAGTAATCAGATGCATAACCAGCAGGGATGACAAAGCAGCACCCCTAACTAAATATGGAAGGGAAGAAGGTATCCAAACAAGAAATTCTTAAATCAGTCAGGAGGGAACTCAGACAGCAAGGGGCACACGACCTTTGCAGTCAGCCCAGTCAGAAAAAGTTATCTATTTCTGGCCATGAAGCAATGGGGCAGCACAGAGTCCTGAAAGATGCCAGAAGAGCTCCAGCTCAGTGACTAGCAGCAGTCACCTGGGTAGAGAGAGAAGGAATTTCAAATCCCTGATTTGTGCCATTCACAGAAGCAGCCAGTCATCAACATCCTGTGCAAGTTGCATAGCCATCCAATTCCTAGTACCTGTCCCGCTTTCTATGAACGTACCAAAAGGACTGCATCCTCCTGGCAAGACAGCAAGAATAAATACCCTGTTCTGAATCCCAGTTCAGCCTGAGCTCGTCTCTGACCTACTCAACAGCAACTGAGCTATTTAGAGACTTCTCTGGCATGTTAATAGATGATGCACACACTCAATCTTTGGGAAGTGCAACCTATGATTAAAAAACCTATGATTCCAAGAATTTTATTAGAAAGCAGCAGGTCAGCTGGACTTGTTGAAATTTTACACTCCTTCAAACAGAAACAAAACTACAATACCATTAATACTGTTGTGGATCCAGAGCCACCCAAACATCAAGCAACACACACACAGACTTTCAAAGTTTTCTGGTACTTCTTAATTTTTATATAGGTAACCTTTAAGACATCTTTAGTAAGTTCATTGTTATTTACAGTCCAGCAAATTCAGACATACACAAATATTTTCAGTCTTCAAGCAACAAATTTGATCTGAAGTCCAGTCAATTCGCTCACAAGCTATACATTTCACACACAACCCATGAATTGTAATTATCTCTCCAAGCTACCCATTTAAAAGAAGGGTAAATTAAGATCAACCATAAAGCACTAAATATTTATCAAGGCTTCCAAGACACAACTGTAACAGTGGCTCAAGGAGTTCTCAGTGGCTTGTAGCAGTCACTGGTTTTAACATACAGACACTGGTTACAGAAACACCACCTTCTGGTGTCATCCCATGCCCTTACAAAAAGAAAAAGGTAAATCTCACACCACAACTGTTCAGAGCACAGCACTGCTCAGGCAACAAGACATTTTATCTAGTACAGCTCAAACACACAGGAAGCTATACAAATCCCAAAACCATGGCCAGCTCCCAAACAAAATGAAGAGATCTTTGTCAGTTCTAGCAATAGCATCTGGGATGTGCCACCCGTAACTGAGCAAAACCATGAGCAGCACTGCGCTAGCACTATACAAGTGGTAACAGAAAAATGCTCACACCGTATACCAGAAAACTCTGAGAAGTGCAATACAATGAAAAAACTCATGTAAAGTTTGCAATGAATTAATCTGACAAACATATTTAAACAATGCACCCACATTTTTTCTTCCCCTGATATAGGTACAATGTGGTACAGACGACGGTATACTAAAAACTTCAGTACTTTGAACTTCTACTTACCCAAGAAAGCCTAGAAAAGCTGCCACAGTTTAACTTCACAGGTTCCTTAAATTTACTGTTTCACAGAAAAATGTAAATTTACCATATAATTAAAGTTAATAAAATATACTTAAATAGCAATGTTAATACTCATTATGTTAATAATACCACAGAATTCCTGTGAGATGAATGTAATAAAATGAGCATTCAAAAAAGCTTAATTTAGAAACAGGATGTTTGCTGTAAGCACAAGACTATGTCAGAAAACAGGGTGGATTTGGATACTGTGATTATTATACAAGATGATGCAGTTTATGCAGGGGAAAAGGCAACTAAGCTGACTGCCTTACCTTGCAGTTCAAGTCCTATTTAATAAAAACCAACAAAAAAAAACCAACAACAAAAAAAAAAAAGCCACCTGCCCAAGGCTCCCTCACCCCTCAAGGCAAGAAGTTTCAAAGAACCCTCTCTATTCCTCTCCTTCCCAAGGGGAGTGAGACAACTGTGGCAAGAACTTGGACGAAGCCTTGGGCGAGATGGTTTAGTGTGAGGTGTCCCTGCCCATGGCAGGGGGGGTGGAACTAGATGATCTTAAGGTCCTCTCCAACCCTAACTATTCTATGACTCTATGATTCTAGCTACAGGACTTCATCCATATTACTGCCTGGCACACAGAAAGCCTTCAGAGGGCAAGAAGGAAGAATCCATTACAAAGCAATTAATCTACCAAAAACGGAAGGAGAAGAAATCTAAATTCTTTGTCTGTCAAAGAAATGTAAGCAAGCTAACAAAAACCAGGAAAGGAAGTGGGTAAGTGACGAGGCTACTCTCACGCTCTTGGCCAATACTCTGCTGCTTATCTAGCTGATCTATGAGCATGCCCTAAATCAAGGGGAACTTATTCACAACCTTTCCTTAGAGCAAAGGGGCATTTTTCCAAAACACAACAACTCAGGTGTCCAAATTTGGAACTGTGGCATATAAATATCTGAACACTAGCACTCTCCTAAAACTAACCATAAAAGGCTATTTTACATAAAGTAAGACTATTCCTTACTCATTTTAAAAAATGTATGAATCGTGTTTGATTAAGTGATTAACAACAGCAAAAGCCTCAACTGGCAAAGATCAGGTTCAGAAAGTTTCAGCCAAATTATAACAGGCAAACAGATGATCCTTCAGGGAAAATAGTTTAAAATTTCTACGCACATCCCCTAACTACTTTTTGAAGACAATTTTACTTAAGCCAACCAGCAAGAAGAAATGTTACACTAAAGCAAGCACCAACTACTTTTTCAGAACCATGACAGGCTGTCATAGATTAGATGTTAAGAACAGAAAAGAATTTCTTCTAATCAACAGAATTAACAACAATTCAACAAAAAGTGGCTGCAATGCTGCTATGAGTGGCTTTAGACTTATGATATAAGCTTTACAATCCTTACTAAATGGTGAGTCCTTACTAATACCTACGGGTTTTCAGCACTTATTTGGAACAAACAGGAAAAAATGACACCTACAAGTAGTAACTGTAAGAGAGAAATAATTCATGCATATGAACTTCATTCTTAACAGTTAAATGAACAGAAGCAGGATAATGCTTTCATTAAGTCTGAACTTAAAAATCTAACACCTGTTCAAATGAAGTATTTCATCAAAAGCAAAAAAAAAATAACTTAAGCCTCGTGATATAATTAACTACGGTTTTAATATAAATCTATCTTGAAATAAACCATTTTCATATAAAAGATATAAGAATTTTTGACAAAGCTAAGTAATTTCTCACTAATCCTTCCTTAAACAAGCCAACACAAAAGAAAAGCTGTTGGCAGAAAATGTTTTCAGGACACAGCTGACAAGGTTCTTCGTAAGTACTATTAGAGAAATGGAGCACTTCCTACTTAGGGAGCAAAAAACTAAAACATTAAACTTCATACAACTAAGTTGAAAGTTAAGGCAATAAATTCAAAATATCACTATTTATATGGTAACAAAGAGATGGCCTGCTCAAGTCTCCAATTCCAGTATACTGGCCTGACCAAGATACACTGTCCTCTACAGCCAGCAGCACAAGAGCAGAACATGCTAACACGGGTGGCTGCACTCTACCACCAACCCAATGTGACACTGCAGTCAATTCCAGACTAGAACTCCAGTGCCTCTGGACTCACAGTAAAACACAGTAATAACCTTCATGTCACATAACCTCAGTTCATAGACCTAACTGCACAAAGCACAGATATACAGAGGCAGGAGACCAGAAGTTTTATAGTTCAAAAGAAAACCATGGGTACTTCTTTCCTCAGTACAGTCCAAACACTATTAGGAATTTTTGTATCACTGACACTGAGGTGGTGATTTACCGTAAGTTGTTTCCTGTCTCCATGTACATTCCAAAATTTCTAGCAGTTGAAAGAAGGAATACGGCAGGTAGAGAAATTTATATGTCTATTAAAAAAAATAAACAGCAAAACACATTATCTTAACTAAAAATTGTGTTACACAGAAATTAATCCTTGCAGCCTTCCTCACAAAGTCCAGCCAAGATAAATCAGTAAACTGCATCAATCTAGGAAAGACAAAAGAAAATACCAGAGAGAAAAACTGTTTTGGTAAGAATGTGCTGTAGTCAGAAAGCACAAGTGCTAAAAAAGACAAATCTTATGGAGAGTGAGGGGGAACTTTGCAGTTTGTGGACAGAGAAATTAACACTGCAGTTTAAATAATACTGCCAGTAAGAAGAGTAATTTAAAATTATCCTCAAATATCCGGGATTATTTAAGAAAATTAAATTCTACATTAACTTCAGTTTCAAACAGTCTCTTGTTCTCCACTGAAAAGGCAGCACAAGAGCCAAAAGGGGAAAACAGTTTCAGTATTGCGCTCTAGTTCTCATTTTGGCTGTTTAAAATAAAAACCCACAGAAAAGTAACCATGGACAAGATCTGTAAATACGTTTACTCACAAATGTCCAAACAAAACTTCCCTGACAACATAATCCAGTGAACTAGACGGTACTTTAACTATCAGGCTCTTCAGCACCAGTTGAACATAAAATCCCTCCTACCAAGGATCTCCAAAAAGTAAACAAAAATTAACGTGAGCAAGCAGCTATAAGTGCAACCTCAGAGAAGCAGGAACACAGCACAGTTTCATTCCAGCTGTTCGCTCTGTCTCAACACCTTGTTCTTATCACTTCTGGACACTTTATATCCTAAAAACTCAGCACTTGGTCACTGACTGACTATTCAATGTCACAAGCTTCACCATTTGCACATTAGCATTGTTATAAATTTAGCTTCTATGATGTTACTGTGACAAATGAGAACCAAAAGAGCAGTTTATCAGAACTCAAAACAGATTTGCTCAGTATTTTGAATAATCTTTCTTAATGCCTTCATTAGAATGGCTCAAGCCTGCAGCACTGGTTTTCAGCTGCCCACAAAGAGCTCGGACAGTAAAAACACAGCACAGCTTAAAATACTGCTTCAGTCAGGAACACCGGTCATAAATAACTTCAGTTCCCAACTCACCAGCCTCTCAGAACTCCTGCGAATATTGCCACAGGCAGGTGAAGAACATTGTCGTTAATGTTCAACTCAGCTTGGAGCTTGACAACAGTGAGTTCAAAACACCTGAGCAGTACTGCCTTCACCCACAACAAACCTCACTACTGACCCTGCTCTGAGCTATAAACACAGAATAGGATTTAATTAAACTGCTTCTATCAGAGAACAAAGAAAAGCCCGTTTAGTTTACAAATCTGTGAAAACAATACACGCGAGAAAAAGAAAAAAGAAAAAAGAAAGGACTCTAGCTAAAAGGCCTATTCAACACGATCAAGAGCAAACGCTGATCTAAGGCGCTCCCTCACCTTTCTGTAACTGAAACCACTGGAAGGAAAAGAAATCGAAACGCGGATTTTATTTCCCCCGCCACGGACCTTCTCTGCTTACAGCCACCCGGAGACAAATCCGACCTGGCCCGGGGGGAGGCCGAACTGTATCTCACCGCTCCACGTTACGGCCTGAGCCGCAGGCAGCAGCGGCACACGGGGGAGATTCGCTCCCTCCCTCCCCGCCCTCAAGCGCCAGTGCTTCTCGCCGCCCCCCCATACGCAAACCTCTCTCAGGCCGTCTAGGGCCCGTCGCCATGCCACTCCCGAACGGCTGGGGACAAACCTCAGAGACAGAAGAGACGCCCGTGCCCGCTGGGGACCCTCCGCCGCCCGTGCTCCAGAGTACAGCATGGCGGCGGCGCCGGGCCAGGCCCCCACCAAGCCGCGCCGGAGGCCCCGTTACCACCAACACTGTTGCTAAGACCCGAGGCCTGGCACAGAACGCAGCATTATCCCCCCCGCTGCCCTTCCCGCTTCCCCTCTCACGGCCGGGCGAGCCGAAGCGCGCTCGGAGAAGCCTCGACGCCCTTCACTCACCCGCGCGGTGCCACCGAAGCGCTGCTGCCACCCTCCCGCCAGCAGCGCCGGACAACGGCAACTGCGGCAGCTCTTCGCGACCGCAAACAGGAAGCTCCGTCACCGCGGACGGTCCCTGCAGCAAACGCGTTCGGGAGGGCTGTCGCAGGGAGCGCTGCCTGCAGAGCTGCGGTCCGCAGCGCAACAGGGACGTGCGGCAGCTTCAGCGAGTGCAGAGGAGGCCACGGAGATGCTCCGGGGGCTGGAGCACCTCTCCTGTGAGGCTGAGATAGCTGGGCTCGTTCAGCCTGGAGAAGAGGAGGCTCCAGGGATCTTTAAGGTCCCTTCCAGGACACACCAGTCTATGCATAGGTGAGTTTGGCTCCTTAAAAGCCAAAAGGTCTTCCCCCATGTGTGTCTTTATTTTACTCTCAAAACCAGTAACCCCCATCCCTGGTTATTCTGGGCCAGATTCAGCGTTTTCCAGCTGGCACATGTACAGATGCTGTTTGAACACATTTGAGCCTCCTTTGGGTTATACTTTAGTATGTGGTTTTCTTAGTTGTCATGGCTGAGAGCAAAGTATAAGCAGCCAAGTTAGTCTGTTTTAAAAATTTGGACTTTATCCATGATTTAAATTTGCTGTAAAAATATGTTTCTCGTTCTTCATTTAAAAAGCTGTAGAAGGCATTGATTTACTGATAGCCAAGGTAGAACTAGATAGTTTCCACACCTAAAATGTGTGCTCCACAAATTGAAAGGCTACTCACCATTTTGGAGGTGCTTATGTGTCGGTGGGATCAGCTCAAATGGAAAAAAGCAGGCTTGGAATAACAGGAAAACATAATACAACTGAGCAAGACAAGAGGTAGGACAACCCTAAGTATAGGCTTGGTGTTTTGATTTGATGCTAAGTAGCGGTCATGGAAATAAGTCTTTAAAATTAGATCAAAGAGACACTGAGCACCATTATTAGTTTCTCATCAGCGAGTAACTGTGAAGGCCAAGTTGTTGATCCACTTGGGAAGAAATAAATAAAGATGGCTGGTGGGTTGGCCTGGCTCTTTCTAAAAGGTGTGATTGCAAACCTCAGGAGACCCCTAGCCTGGCAGGTGCAAAGGCAAACTGCAGGGAGGAGATCTTATAAAAATTTTATTTAATGCTTTAAACATTTATTGATATGGAAATAAAAGAGTTTTCCCCTTTCATGAGTTATGACAGGTGAGAACAAAGGATAAAAAGTGTTCACTCACTCTTTGAAAAACCTCACCTGCAGTACACAAGCTTGGAGTGGTACATGAGGCAATTATTTTAATTCCTTACAGAGTAGATTTTATATTAAAATTATGATCTGGTGGATACTAACCATAAAATTTTTTATTTATCCACAGAAGCAGAATGGTGGCAAAGGAGTGTAATTCCATGTGGAATGTGGAATTACAGGGTTGAAATTCCATGTGGAATTACAGGGTTGAAATCACAACATTGTCTGCATGATCACAACTGCTGCTTTAACACAGTTGTTGTACAGGTGACAGCATTACATTAATTTTCCCATAGATTTTCTAACATAGTTCTGACTCTAAACGGCACCCTTCATATATAGGAATAAGGTTTGGAAAGGCTGAGAGATCAGTTTTGCACTTGGAGAAAATACGGTATGTGAAGCCCAACATGACCCAGCAATGTCTACTTGCAGTCCAGAAAGCTAACAGTATGCTGGGCTGCAACAAGAGGAGCATGGGCAGCAGGTCCAGGGAGGCGATTCTCCCCCCACTCTGCTCTTGTGAGACCCCACTTGTAGTAGACTAAAATGTCAACTGGTCCTGTTTTCCTTGCTTCTGTTTGTTTTCTGATGGGAAGAATGCTGCTTGCTGGTAAGCAGCGAAGGAAATGCTACTTTCATGCTGCTCTACCCAGTGCGCTTGCTGCCTTTGCCCAGCAAGGCTACACACCCACCTCTGACCCCTTCAGATCTTCAGCAGGTCAGCTCAGCCTCTAAGACCTTCCAGGCTAATGTCATCTAATCTGTGTATGTCCAGGCAGTCTCTGCTTCTCCCAGATCACCCAAAGCTCAGAAGAGATACTGTGTCTACAATTCTTTTGCTTTTAAATTGCAACACTCTGATAAAAAATGTTCATAACCATAGCAAGGTACTGCTGAACTATCCTTTTACCCCCTTTTCTCTCCTTCAAGTTACATAGTTCAAGTGCCAGAGGACAAGACAAACTAGTTCCCCGAGAATTAATTAGAATTCTCCTGACCCATAGTTTGGTTTGTTATTTGTCTTCAGTCACGCTCATTTCAATGAATATCAATCAGAATAATTTTTAAACTTTAGCATTAATCATATTTAGATGTCTTACAAAGGTTTGGAAGTCCTTAAGTGAGAACTGCTTATGTCAGCGTTTTCCAGGCAACAGGACTTTGCAGTCTCTGTGTAAAAAAATCAACACAGATAAACAAAGAACTGCGTAAGGTGAAGAGCCAGAGCCACCTTCCTCCTCACCAGAGGTGATGTTGTGGGAAAGATTTTAGGCAAGACTCATAGGAAGAGATAACATAGGAAGATCAAATGTTTAATTAGATCTACGTATAGGACTAATAAAAGAGAAAAGATTTAGATTCGGAAAGCCTTCAAAGGTATTTGCAAAGTATGAAGTAAAAGCATTCTGTGTTTTTATGGCTAGCTGCTTGCAGCTGAAGTCTGGAATACTGTGTCAGGGAGCATTAAGTGTGACGTTGCTGGCAGGGGATCAACATTCCAATAACAAAAGCTGGTGGATCTGTTGAAGCTGGTATCAAAGATCCAGGCAGACCTGGGCTGGCATCCAAGGGCCCAGTCACAAGTCAGAATAAACCCTGTTATCAGAGCATCTTCATTGCTCAAGAATTTTCAGTCCTCACCCGGAAACATGACAGCAAGGTCTGGTTCACTTCAGCTGTCTAAAAGTTAAGCATCTAGTGTAAGGCCTCCAACTATGAACAGAAAGAGAAGGAGGGTGCACCTCCAGGGCACAGTTTCTGCTTTGTAGATGTATTTTAGTAAAGAAAGATCCCCCCCTCTGGAGCTCTGTCTCTGGGTTGCCTCTCTTTCATCGGAAGTGCCTCGACAGCCACTTTACAGATGGCTGAAGTTAAGTGAGATGAATTCAGGCCTAACTGGTAGCTATAACCTAATGATGGAAATCATGTGGCAGCATTCCAGGAGGTATTAGCAATTCACATAGTTCCCAGATCCTTTTTTTTTTCTTAGTAATTTTTTATGACTTACAGAGGTCAATTATGAAAAGCCCATCAGAACACAAGAAATACTTAAAAATGCTGCATTAGAGAGATATTAATATTGGTCCCTCTGATGTGGTGATGGCTGCAGCCTTCCTGGCTTGCTGCTCTGGCCCACTGCTTAATGCATCCAGTTTTTCTATTTACGAATTCTACTTTTGGTATTAGCAAAGAATATGAGCATATGTATCAAAGACTGTTCTCACATCATTTAATTATAGTACTACTGGCAAAGTAATTCTGGAAAGTGCCACTTAATTAAATATAAGCATTAACTTTTTGCTGATAGCTTATCAGAAACAATTAGACTTGAAATATGAGCAATACACCTAATGTTTAAAACTTTAAGTAGATGCATTAGGAGCACAAAATAACCAATTTTCATTAGCATTCTCAATAGATTTTCTTCTGAGTATAACCTCGATTTTCACTGGTAAGGTGCTCCGTCAGTAACCAGAAGGCTGCAAGTTTATCTGGACTCCCCATTGTAACCAAAAGCTTGAGCCAAGGGGATGTTTTTGAAAGTGATTAAAACATTTCTGCATAGCTGGTGTTTTTGCCAATTCCCCCTGAAGCATCAGATGTATCCTACTGATTATTTGAGGTGTGCAGGCAACAACCCAAGAACTGCTGTGGGCAGTCAGAAGATGTCACAGCTTATGGCAAATGCTTATTCCTTGCCAGGACAGCTCAGTCAGCATTTCTGTCTATTCATTTGACCAGGGATATGCTTTCTTACCCATATGCCAGTGCCAAATATTAGTTAGTTCTATGTTACTTTTCATGAATAGCTAAATAGAGCTAATAGTTAATTAGACCTAAAATATCTCTGCAGAACTCTGAGCTCTGCTGCTATTTGCCTTAAAGAGCAGAGAGGAAAAAGAAAAGCAGTAAGCAGAGCTGTAATCCTAAAATCACAGAATGGTTTGTGTTGGAAGGTACCTTAAACATCACCTAGTTCCAATCCTCCTGCCATAGGCAGGGACACCTTCCACTAGACCAGGTTGCCCAAAGCCCCTGTGTCCAGCCTGGCCTTGAACACTTCCAGGGATGAGGCAGCCTCAACTTTTCTGGGTAACCTGTTCCAGTGTCTCACCACCCTCATAGTGAAGATGATGAATTATTATTAATGACAGGAATTACTCTAATTGAAGATAAAAGGGCTAGAAAGAACCACTTTCTTTGAAAAGTTATGTTTGACAACATACAGCAAAACCACACAGCAACTGATAAAGAGATGCTTTTCATAGGTCTAACATTTGGGTAAGCAGAAGTAGCAAGATGATCTGAAATAACACCATCTGGTGAATGCCTGTTTCCTTCTTCAGCAATCAAGAGCTATGTGTAACTATAAACAGAGAGTAAAATAGAAATTATGCAAAACTACTTTTCAGTCAAATGTTACACAGAATGAGCTAACATCTGCTCTGGGAATGTAGAAAACAATGATCTTAAATATAGTAGGACATTTAAGCAAGCTGTTCTTACCAATGTATTAATGGAATGTATGTTTCCTACAGAGCTGTGGACAGGTGAACTTAGTCCCAGACTGGAAAGCAACTGTTCTGGCAATGCAATGTAGCAATGATTTAACTGTCACACAAGAAAAATTCATCCCTTGACATGACACAGGCATGAAATCAAGCCTGCAGGACACCTCTCCATACCCTTATGTACAAGCAGTCCCGTTGGTGCCAGTCAGAATTCCCATGTTTCTCCTATTTGCCTGTCTGAAGGTGCTTTGCTTGATTGCACCTAGCACTGAGGTACCTGATTTTTGTAGAAGACAGCCAGATTATAGGAGTTTGTCCAAGAAATTCCACTTCTAGGTATTTGATATGGCTGGTGGTGGAAAAATTGAATACATGTGTAGGTGATTTAACATTTAGCATTAGCCCTATGATTTTTGCACCAATGTTTAGCATCATGTCTATAACAAGTTGTGAAAATAACTGAAAATTCATTTTTTGCTGACTTTCTTATTTTGCAGCTGATAACAGATTTGCAAAATCATTGAAAAGATAAAGCAACACTGGAAGGTGAAAAAGCGAAGTCACAAGATCTTAAATCCAACCATACCTGGTTAAGTGCCATTTGTTAACAACTACAGACATCTGCAGGCAGGAGGAGAGTTAGTGTAGTCTACTAAGTCCCCGGTCACATCAAAGTCCACAAAAGGTGTTTTGAAGATGCTGTTGTGTTCACTAACAAGCAAATTGGAAAGAAAGATGATTCAGATTTTGGACGTGTCACATGGGGAGAGGCTGAGAGAGCTGGGGTTGTTCAGCCTGAAGAAGGCTCAGAGTCCTCTTAGTGCTGCCTTGTGACAGGATGAGAGGCAATGGGCGCAAACTGGAATATGAGAAATTGTGTTTAAACCTGATTAAAAATGTTCTAGGTAAAATGTAAAGGTAATTGAAAAGTGGAGCAGGTTGTCCAGAGAAGTTGTGGAGTTTCCATCCACAGAGACATTCAAAACTCCATGGGGCAAAGTCCTGAGCAACCTGCTGTACATGACCCTGCTTTGAGCAAAAGGGCTGGAGTAGGTGATCTCCAGACACTCATGTGTTCTTTAAACTGGATTCAACTAGCACAACTTCATAATCACTTCCTGCCTTGTGTTATCTCTTTACACGCATCAGAAATGTTACGAGGTTTCCAGCCTATCAGATACATACTGAAAACCAGGCAAGATGTCTGAGCATTTGTGCTCTATTCATCGTATGAATTATGAAGTGTCCTACAAGAGGAGTTTTCTGTAATTTTCAGCTTGCCACATTTTTAGTGGCAGGTGAGCTGAAGGGTATGTGGTGCTATTTTTAAGTATTCCAGAGTAAGCATGCACATTACTAACTTCATAAATGCTATGGTGGAACTGTGTATTTAGCAATGAAAATAATAGAAGTGCAGAGAGATGCAGATGATCGTAATCATCAAAGGAGACAAAAAATAAATTACACCTTCAGAGGGGCTAAAATAGAGCTAAAATTTCAGAAGCTGAAAGAGATGGTTTTTTTTTTTTCATGTATTTGCTAACAAAGTAGCATTCTTCATTATGAATTAAAAGTTTCTTGTATTTTTATACAAGGAGTAAGTTTTGTTCTTTGCAAAAATAGTTTTCTCAAAGCATGTCAGTGATATTAGTTATATGTTTGAAAGACACACTGAAACAAAGCTAAACCTTTTGGCTGCAGTTTGACAGAATGGGAACTTCACATCTCAAAACCTGAAGCTGAAAATCATCCTGGAGCAGTAAAATCATAGAACCACAGAATCATTCAGGTTGGTAAAGACCTGTTGTAAGATCGAGTCCAACCATTAACCAAGCAGTGCCAAGACCACCACTAAACCATGTCCCTAAGTGCCACATGTACATGTTTTTTGAATGCTTCCAGGGACCGTGACTCAACCACTTCCCTGGGCAGCCTGTTCCAGCAGTAGTAACTTTAAGACCAATGAACAGTTGGTACTAGCTTCCCTTTTAGAAGGGACCTATTCAGTACTATCAGTCTTTAGCCTGAGAACACCACATTTACTGCAAAGAAATAAAGAGTGTTTCTGCAGAGTTTCAAGAAAACTCAAATTATTTTATTCACAAAAGCAGAATTCAATAAAAATATAGACATCCTGATCAGTTTTACAGACCATGTTCATTTTTTCTCTCCTTTGCTAACAGACAAAGCATCATGAAAAAAAATAGTAACAAGCATTTACATCACAAACCATTATTAACACAAAATCATGTATATAAGCAAATGTTTTAAAGTTTTTGCATATAATTATAAATACAAAAAAAAAGACAGGTCCAACAAAACATTCCAAGAAAAACAACTCTCTCGTTTTCACCTTGTTTCTGTGCTGTATTATTTTCAGTGGTGAAAAGTTACGTGCTGTCTTACTGGCATTTAACAACTAGGTTTTGGGTTAAACTGAAATGTAGCACAAGCTCACTCCTTGAAGCGTTCTCTTTGAATTCCAAACCCCTTGGTAGATTGGATGTTTGTGCTAGATTTCTCAGGCGATGCCAGAAAGACAGTCCACACTGCTTCTGATAGCATCAGGGAGCTCATTGGTTTTTAGTTATGTGGCAGCACCCCACACAAAAGTAACTGAAGATACATCCTTGTTGTTCAAATCCAGCTTCTGGCAGCTCAATGTTTATGCATGAAACTGGAGCCAAAACTTTCCTCTGCTGTAGACACGAATTCTGCCCAGAGACGAGTGAGTTTTGTGAAGTTTATAAAAGTCTGGCTTTCAGCACCATGATGGAAAACAACTGAGAATAAGGAACAAGGCCAAACATTTCTGTTTTCATTTGTTGTGTTTTTTTGTTGGGGTTTTGTGCTGTTTGGTTTTTGTAACCCAGCTAGTAGGACTGAACCCACATCTAGAAAAATTCCCACCAAGATAAACAGACCAAGTCCTAATTTTGTTTTTATTCTTTTATGCCTTTTCACTTTAGAGAGATGAAGCATTTGTGACCTCTGCCATTATAATGATAACTGGTGACAAAAATGTTTTTAGAACAGGATGCAGAATTATAAACCAAGAATTATTTGAAAACAAAACCAGAAAATGCTGTCATTTTTCAAAAGTACTGAACTAGGACAAAACACTGAAATACAGAGACTGACTTTCAGAAAGGGTTATCTTGTGCTAAAAACAACCCATTATTATTACTCCTGTAATTCTGATGACCAAAATCTACAATAGCATTTCAGGTTACTTGCATGCAAAGTGCTTCCTGCTTCTGCCTACCTGAACTCTGGGTGCATCACAACTGGGGGAGAGTTCATTCTTTTAAAAAAGAGGAAATCCATTTTCCTATATAAATCATTCTTGCTGCAAGAGATCATTTAAGACTACCTAGCTCCTCAGGCCATAACTACAGCTATATTATTTCTTACACTTTTACCTCTCATTCCTTAAAATATCCAGCAATAGGTCACTGAAAAGCAGGGACTCATGTTTCATCCTGACTACAGGAAAAGAGCTGACACAACTGAAAGCCGCTGTTGCCAGCAGAGAGACCTACCCTCTTCTTACTGCAGCCTGGGTACTCACAGTGGTATAAGCTGTTGTAGCTTTCATTTTCAGCCGCCTACCTGCAGAAGGAAATCTAGGCTACAGTCCCCTGACTTGAGCATGTCAGGATTTCATACTTAATGTACAGAATATGCAAACCAGTATCACTGAGTACTACATACTGAAGGAACAAAAAGTCAGGAAGAGTATTTCCAGCAAACGCAAATTCTCTACTGATTTTTTTTTTCAGTAGTAATTGCAAGTTCTTGCAATTACATGACTGCATCTCTCTGCAACTCACCCTTCCTCCCAGCCTACCCTCTCTGTTGAGCTTGCAATTGTGGTACCAGACAGGAATAGTGCACACTGTCTCCTTTCACAGAAGCAGGAAGCATACAAGTCATGATCACTTGGCATGACTCCAACACAATCTTCAAAATACAACTATTTAATAGAAAATTTTCATTTCAATTTTACAAAATACAGATACACCACTACCCAATGTAGCAAAATAATGGAATTGAAAAATAATTTCAAAATATTTAACACATTAGGTTCTAAAATAAATAATGCTATCTAAGGAAGTGTTCAGGTTTTACAGTTACAAGGAGGCAGTTCCACTATTACTGATCTCTTTTTCAACTTCTTTACAAGTTCCATAGTTTCTGTAGAAAAATATACAAGAAAAGAGTTTTGGGATAAAGAATAACCTGGGTATGTAACATTTAACATAAATAAAAAGCCTAAAGCAAAACCAAAAAGAAAACCAATTGTTTTATTTCTGTACATCAAGACTACAAATAGTATTTTAACACATCATTTATTACCCAAATTAAGAAATTATACATTTTTATATGGTTACTAGTAAACATCTTAAAATCACTCAGTTTTCCCACATTTAAAAGGATATTGCTGGTTACTGATTATTAAATATGAAATCCAACAGTTTCCTGTAACAGCAAAATATTTTTTTGCATAAGAGATGAATACAAATTTGATTGTAATTTTTGATGATTTAAAAAACTAAAGTTCATGGGGATGCACTTACGGATCTTACAGTCTGAACTATAATTCCTTTCTTTAAATGGACTGCGGTTTGCATACGAACACCCAACAATGTGCCTACTACTACCAGAGGATCAGTTCCTTCCATGTGAAAGCATTTTTTTTTCCCAGATACGAAATTATATTAAGCAGCATATTCCCACCTACTTTTCTTAGCAGAAAAACCGCAGGCAGATGGATAGAAAAGCTGTTTCATCACCAAAAAAATAATGAGTTTGACTAGTGTCCACAGCACAGATACAGCATTTCAAGATGGAAAGAAATGACAGGGAAAAGGAATGTGAATACCACAGGCTTCAAATATAAAAGATAAAGCCTGATAACTTTGGTTCAAATAATTTTAATAGTTGTTACATGTGTACTTTTCCAAAGTGATGGCTTCTGTACGTACTGTGTATGCAACAGGAGTCTCATACATTTAAAAAGAAAACAAAAAACCTGTACAGGCACAAAAGACAGAAACAGGACAAAGAAAATATGGATAGTCACATCCACTCACAACAGTGTTCAAGTGGTAATGATGCAGCCAAAGGTTGAACTTAACGCGAATCAGATTTCTCCAAGTATTTCAGAAAGCACAAATGGAGTATTACAACCATTTTATCTCAGTGCCTACCATCTTGAGGGAAGGTTGTGTCCTGGGTTCAGCTGTAACAGTTATTTTTCTCCTTCCTAGTAGCTGGTGCAGTGCTGTGTTTTGACTTCAGCCTAAGAACAATGCTGGTAACACACCAGTGTTACAGTCGTTGCTCAGTAGCACTTACCCTGATCAAGGACTTTTCAGTCTCACACTCTGCCAGTGAGGAACCAGGAGGAAGCAGAGACAGGACACCTGACCCAAACAGCCAAAGGGGTATTCCATACCATACCACGTCATGCCCAGGATGTAAACAGGGGGAGGGAGTCACCTGAAGGCCCAGATCGTTGCTCAGGTCAGGCTGGATATTGGTCAGCAGGTGGTGAGCAATTGTACTGTGCACCACTTGCGTTTATTGTTATTTTCCTTTACCCTTTTAGTTTTATATTCTCTCCTCTTGTTATTCACCTTATCATTATTAGTAGCAGTAGCAGTTTCATATTATACTTTAGTTATTGGACTGTTCAACCTGTGGGGTTTACATTCTTTCAGTTCTCCTCCCCATCTCGCCCAGAGTGGGGGGGAAAGGAGGAAGGAGGCAGGGGGTGTGAGCAAACAGCTGCGTGATGCTGAGTTACCAGCTGGACTTAAACCACAACAGGTAGTATAAAACATGAGTTCTGCAACAACTATGATTTGTAAACAATTCTACAATGTAAGATGTTAGGTTATTGGTAATGAGCATTTCCATCCTCTCAGTTCTGGGATATCTGCAAACATCTGCTTCACTTCCATCTAAAAGATTAATTACAGGATGTCTCATCCCAATGTGCTGCATGGTACACAACTTTATTGCCAGTTTGTGAAATTATCTGTTTGAACAGCACAAAGCCAAAGCTTCATCTTTGGTTAATTTCACCGAGATGTCACGGTTCTTTAAATGTGCTCTTTCGTCGCGTAACACAGAAAACAGCCACACTGCACACAGCATTCACTGTTCTGAATCATAAAGCAGTGTCAATGTAATATTAATTAATGAAAGCTAACTAAGAAATTGTGTTTAAAAATGAAACTTATTTGAGGGCATTTGATAAGACACAAGAGCTGCAGAAATCTAGACAGAATTCCCTTAAAACTGCTGGGGTACGGGTGCTGCTTAAGAGTAGGCACTGGTTAGTTCCTCTGCAGATCATCCAAATCAGCATCAGTTCGACTCAGCTTAATTCAAATCCAGCAGCACATTCAATGGCATAAAGGAGTTTGCTTCGCATCAGATTTTCATCATAAAACTCAGGAAGCTTCAGCAAGTTCATGCAGGTACTGGCAGTAGGTAGCCTGTCTAAATCAGATCCTCCATTGTGAATGCAAAATGCAGGGTATAACTCCTGAAAAATGCAACAGAAAAAAAACATATCAAAACCCACATACAAACTAAAGCCTACCTCCTAACAGCTGGCACAGACTTCTAGGAAATAAATCATTACATTAAAACCTGTCACAATGACATACTCAAATGGCATTTTCCCTCATTCCTGGTGGCTCCAAAAGCACTCTTGAATTGTGCAGTGCCTCCTTCCACCTTGTCCCCACCAAGATCCATTAATTTGCAGAAGAC